GGAAAATCTCATTCCATTCGGGCAGCTCAATTGTAGAAAGTGTCGGCTTCTTAAAGTGGTATGTCAAATTTAAAAGAAAAAAAATCCCTAAGAGATGAGGGGTGTTAAATAAAAAGAATGATTTTTTATCTTTAAAAATAGTTTTTGCCGTTTAAAAACGTCTAGTAGATTTTTTTAATCACTACACTTTCGTAATTTGTTTCCCTATTATAAATTCATTGTATCACATTTAAACATCAAATAAAAATATTTATGTTAATATCTAAATCCGTTCGATTTTTTTAACAACACACTTACATTTTTTAAAATTTTTTATGGATTTTTTTTATTACATTTAAAAATGTCAAATGTTTAATTTTACTTTTTTCTGATATTTAAGTTAAAAAAATCTTGGGAAAACTTAAATGCGATTTTTAATGTTAATTTTTTTTTAATATTTTACTATAAACTTTTAAACAAAACTACAAGCACTATAATTTGTATGACCTTCACATTCCAATTACCCTATTGATGACTTTGAACGACCTTCACACACACTTTGCCGCGAGCACAAGCCTGCATTTTGGTTGATGGGTAACAAAATCATTTATCATAACCAACGGCTGCGGCGCATTCCTCTCAAGTGGCGTATGTGATTGCGGCAAAGGCAGAGGCAAAAAGCCTTTCCAAAAGCCTGGCCAGTTGCAAAATCCATCCACCAACGACCGACAGCCCCCACTCATATAGCCATAAATCTGCGGACTGGGCAAAAGTTGCGGATATGCGAAACGGCAAACGGGAATGGCAACCATTTGTCTAATTTTAATGGGCATGCTAATAGAGCCATATTGCGGGTCAGGCGGACAGGCGGACACCTGACCCTGACCCCAGATCCCTCGGAGATCTCAATTCCGTCGGGATGGAGGCATGGGCCTCCTCCATTTCTCAGGTCTTGCCAGTCGACTTTTAATTTATGTGCGGCCAAAAGTTTTTGGCTCATTAAATACCTCAAAATGAAAATGGTAAATGACTTACGAGCCGGCCTGAAGATGAAGATGCCGCTCCAGACGATTGACTTGGAACGTGCTCCTTTCCCCATTCCCGCTCCAGTTGGCCATCTCCTGCATCATTTGCTGAATTGCCGCTACGTGCCGCATTATCGGCCACAAAAAATCTCGGCCAGACGACTTTTCAACTGGCTGCCGCCATTTCTATTGATGAAATTGCCAAGACGCTCGACCATATTTGCCTTTGGCTTTTTAATGAGGCCCCCGGTTTGTTTGGGTTTCCTCCGATCCGCCTATCTGAGGTCAGTTTCCGTTGCCTGCCTGCATCATTTGTTAATGTTTCGCCCCAGACATTTACATTTCTTAGCCCAAAGGCAACCAGAAAGCCCAAAAGAAGGCAATACAATATTATTGTTATTTATCTGTATGAAAATGTTTGAGAGATAAGATAATGCCCGATGGGCAAAATATTTATTCACTTCTTTGGTGCAGTAAAGCATTTTTACGTTTACGTTTTTTCAATGAATTCAATAAAGATTTCTTAAAGTTTAGAAGACAACTGTGGTTAATTTAATAATAATAATTGGTTTACTGATGATTACAGGATTTTTTAATTCATTTAGTAATAATAACGCTTTTTTAAATACTTATTAATTTAATTTATTTTTAAAAAAATATGCATATCAGTAGTTTTGTTTGTTTTTTATTTTTATAAGTTGTAAATTATTCAAATGGGAAAAATAGAAATAATACATTGTGTCATATCATATCGGATGATAAATTTGTTGAGTTTCTTGAATAACTTCTTAAGCATTTAAGTATCTAAGGTAACAAATTTGAAATCTTTAGAAATTCATGTGTCTTAACATTAGGTATATTAAAAAAATGGTTTTCCTTTCAGTGCATACAATCTTCAGACGTCAATTCGTAATCTTCGAGTGATAGTGCTTAATCTGCGTGCTTATTTTTGAAGCCATTCCCTCTTGGCCTAATGAAATCGTAATATTTTAGAGCAGCTTGTTTGATTGCGACCAGAATAAATATTTATCGCGCCCACATGGACATATGGAATTAGCTAACACAATGCCACGCCCCCTTTTCAACGGGCATTTTAATTTAATTTTCACACCTGAACGCACAGCAAAAACCCATATAAAGTGGTTGTAGTGGCGTTTATTTTGCAACGTAAAAGGACCTCTGGCGCCGGACAGCAACAAGGAGCGAGTCCTGCTTACATATATTCACATATGCTCATGGCAAATTTAATTTTAAAAAGCAAACCCGGAAATACATACATATGTGTACGCTGCTGCACCTCAATCAGCGGGAAATGGCCGCACACTCAGCGGGCAAAGCTGCACTTTTCCCACCCCACTTACCACCCCACTTTTTTGGCCCACTTAACACACCTGCACAGAAAAAAAATTGACAGAAGGTCAGATTGATTTGTGCAGGTTAAAATAATATTTTTTAAAGATCATTTTGATATGAATAAAGATTACGTTTATCTTATTTTAAATATTTGTTAAAAAAAGTAATACATTCGGTATTTTAAACAGTATTTTTTTAACATTTATGAAATTATAAAATATCAAGTTGATATGTTTGAATCATAATTTTGACATTTATCATATTGGCATTTTATTGAAATAGTATAAATAGTAGAAATGACCCTATCATATCGAATTTTTTTCCGTGTGCAGCAAGCTCCACCTGTCTGCGAGCTCCATGTCTAATTGTATGTGCTTTTGTGGCCAAAACTATGAGGATGCTGTTGATGTTTTTGTTCTGTGTTGTGTTGCTGCTGTTACTGTTTCTGTGGCTCTTGTTGCAGCATTTGTTGCTCCCGTTGTTACCCCTTTTGTGTTGCTTGTGTTGCACCTACTCACCGGTCGCACCGGTCAGTTAATGTAGTTCCTGGCCAGGCAACAAAGTTGTGGGTTTTATTAGTTTCTTCTGGGTTCAGCGCTCACCGCTGATTGTTGTGCTGTAAATTGCATTTGTGGTCAACAAAAAGACAAGTCGGGCCTCAGCTTTATTTGTTGTACAGCTGTTTTGGGTTATTTTTCCTTTTTTTCAACTTGGCCACCTTATTTAAATTGCCATTAGCTGCGGCTCTTTGGGCCGACTCATCCTTTAATTTGGGGAAATGCCACAGCATTACGGTTGCCATTAGCCAATGCAGCAAAACACATAAGCGGAAACACTTCCATATGTATGAGCAGATAGTCGCACATTTCCGTTGGATTTTCTTTCTGTTTTCTGTGAGCGATTTTCGTGCTACATTTTTTTCTCGGATTTTCTCATCCTTTTATTTTTTTGCTAGTTTTTTGTTTTGTTTTTTTACCAGCTTTGCTCTAAATATTCAACACTTTCTCGCCCGCCTTCGTTGTGTCCTCTCAGGTTGCTCACTTTGGCTTTACTTTTTGCCTGCTTCTGTTTTTGTCGGGCCAGCGCAGCCAGGGAGGTTTGTTTTTAATTAAAACAACAATGCAGTGCCAGAGCCACACTTCCGTCCGTACGCCCGTACGCTAACCCGCTTTTCACCTCCCAACCACCCACCACCCACTACCCACATGCAAGCACATATTATTTCCCACTCACCCGGTGACTGACTGACTTGTTGCTGTTGTTCCTGCTGTTTTTCAGTTTTTCCTGCTGCTGCAACTGCCGCATGTTGCTGTTGTGTTTTACTTTTGCGCTTACAATTTCATTTGGCCCGCTTTTCCTGCCCCTCCCCCCTCCTCTTTTGGCCAGCGCCCTTTGTTTTGGCCTTTGCTTGTGTGTTTTGTGTGAAAAGTGATAAGTGAAATATGCTTTTTCAGCTGCATTTTCAATTTAGTCGTTCAATGCAATTCCAATTGGATATTGCCAATGGCCAAGTTACAAGCCAACTCCCTCACAAGGGGTAAGGTAAATCGAAACGAAATGAAACAAAATAAAAAAGCGGTGGCACAGTATTTGCCCTCTGAAATGTTTAAAATTGATTCGTTCGGACAGAACTCGTTTAATTGGGACTGAAATAAAGCGAATTCCCAGCTGCATTGTGTGGTGATTTGGAGTGTCTTCATGACATGACATTGTCATAAAGACGGATTGTGCCAATCATAATTGCACGGCAAAAAGTCTTGGGTTTAAAATCTAAAGAAATAAGTAGAAGGAATTTCTAAAATTTTATAGATAAATCAAGATGGGAAATATCAAAAAAAGCATTTCAAACTTTTTTAACTCCATGAAAACCATGTGCAGAAAAAAATGTCACTATTATTTTTAGTGCATAAATAAGCTCATAAATCCAATGAATAATATCTGCAGAAATAAGTTAAGCGAGGTTCAAACATTTTAAACTGAAGTCAATACTGGAAATATTTAAAATTGTATCATAAAGATAAAATATAAATGGTCCAGGATTTATATTTGATTTTTAAAATGTCCATATTGATCCAAAGAATAGATTACCTTTATTAAATAGTTATGGATTACCTACATTTAAATCTCTTGAAAAATTGGTTTTCAGTCAACACTTTATTTATATCTTTTAATACCAATAGGTTTGTATGAAGACTAATATTTTGTGAAACCCTAAAGTTTAATTCCCTTCAGTGCATTTTCTCTAGCCATTTAACATATGGGGGTGGTATTGGCTCGGTTCTCATCCAATTCCCCTTTCCACCTGAAAGTTCGCTGAACTTGTTGGCTAATTTCGAATGCAGCTCGCGACAAGACTCTACGTGGCCAGCACCTGACAGCCACGTGACACTATCTTGCCACCACGCCCCCCTTTTGGCAGAATAATGGAATTGTGGGCGTGGTGCACAAGTACAGAAACAGGCGCCTTTGTCCTAGGCAAGGACTTCAATCCGATTGGTGGGCGGGGAGAGTGCAGTAAAAAGTGCATTAGTGGGGATCATAATCTAAGGAAGCGGTCATTTACTGCACCTTTAAGGGCCCAGGTTCCCTGGGGTTAAACGGAGCAGCCCGGCCAGTTGATAAGTAAGCTGTGTAATTCTGGCCTCGACATGTATTTAACAAAAACCCAGTCAAATACCATATTAGTCTAGGAAAAGAAGGTGGAAAAATTATTTAAATTATAGTTGAAAGTGGGCGAGTTAAACCAAATAAAATAGAAAAAAGGAAGAATGACGTTCAAAAAGTTGCTGTTTGTTTGCATGGGTAAGAAATCGGTGATTCCTTAATGATTTAATAAAATTTTCTAGTGGAAAACTCTCGTTTGCAGGCAACTCGTGCAGTTCGCCAATGGCCGAGGTGATCATGCAGAATCTAATGGTCAAGACGAGTCTTTATTGGGAAGTGGATAGCGCGGGTTTGAGGACCTGGAACACTGGACGCAGACCCCACAAACGATGCCTGCAAATTCTGCGAGAACATGGACTGCGATCCGATCACTTTTGTCGTCAGGTGAGTTTTTCTTTTTGTAAATTAGTTAATAAAATCTTTAATCTAAAATCTACAGTTCACTGTGAACGATTTTCGATACTTTGATTACGTTGTGGCCATGGATGAATCGGTCTACAAAGAACTATTGCTCTGGGGTGGTGAGAACCGTGGAAACGATTGTGAGGTTCTACTACTTAGTTCGTTTGGCAAAAATGGTCTGCCGGCCTTTATCGACAGCTTGTCACCAGTGAGTTTATATTATTATTTTTTGTATTATTAAATCTCAAACCAATCTCTTTATTTTCTAGACACACAAGCTCAAAAGCTTCCGTTCTGCTTATTACCAGATAAAGGAGTGCTGCAAGCAGCTCATCCTCAGCCAAAAGGTGGACATTGTAAAGTACGAGCTGCCCAGCACCGAGGATGATGATCTCTACTATGCCAACAAGGAGCAGCCGAAGCAGGATGTCGTTGAGGGGACATTGAACCAGTTACCAGAGACGAGCAAACACAGTGGCATGTTCCTGCTGCCCACGGAGATAAGATCCTCTGGCGGAGTGATGTCCCCGTCGACCGACCCATCCTTCTCGAAAACCTCGATGCCTGCTGCAGCCTGCAACCAGGGAACTCAGCGAAAATTGTGCCAGAAATGCGGACAGAAATTTCTTGCGGCGCTTTGAGACGGAAATTTAAAGACTTTTCAACTTGCCCCAAGATTATGTAGCGTATGAAAATTAAGTGAATCGGTGGGGAGAATAAAACTGACTGTTATCTGGCACCTGTCCGCCGTCTATTAGCTTTTCGCAGCCCTTTTGATGGCCGGCTAATTGGCTTAAGAACCCGCCTATAAAGGCCGGGAATTTCGGCCCCTTTGGCTCAGATCTAGTTCGATGAGCATTGGTTTGGTCGAAAGGGGTTGCGGGTAGCTGAGCATGGAGCGCACTCACTTGCCGGAGACGCCACTCGCCTTGGCCCTTTCTGGGCCCAGGTTTCAGGCCCAGTCGAGCGGCAATGGTTCCGTGCTGGACAATGTGAGTAAAGAGGGGGAGAAAATTGGTGTTTATGAGAGGGCTATTACGAGTAGATTTCTACCCAGCAGTCAGCAGAAATATTGGGGTTGCCAAAGAAATAGTTATAGATATGATTTAAAAACTTCAGAAAAAAATTTAAGATATTAAGTGATAGGAAAAAAAATATTAAGGGATATAAAATATTAAGTGATGGTCTTGCGTAATGATTCCCTTGAGCTTAAATAAAACAAGAAAGGAAGCTACCTTCGGCCAGCCGAAGCTTATATACCCTTGCAGATAAAGTAATGCTCACTCGGTGCAGTTCCAGGGATTCCAGATTCAGCGTTTCTATTTTTGAATTTTGTTTTTAAAGAGTCAAGAATTTAAACGCCTACTTCCTACAAAGTAACAATGAATTTTCTTATATATCTTTGAATATTCCTATGGGAGCCTTAAGATATAGTGGTCCGATTCGGCTCGCTCCGACATATGTACTACCTGCAATAGAAAGAAGACTTTCGGGAAATATTCATCGCGATATCTTTAAAACTGAGAGACTAGTTCGCATAGAAACGGACAGACGGACAGACGGACAGACGGACCGACGGACAGACGGACAGACGGACAGACGGACATGGCTAGATCGACTCGTCTAGTGATGCTGATCAAGACTATATATACTTTATGTGGTCGGAAACGTCTCCTTCACTGCGTTGCAAACATCTGACTGAAATTATAATACCCTCTACAAGGGTATAAAAATGTTGTTGCATACTTTTAGACGCCCTTATGAGTGATTTCAAAACTCTTGTGATTTCTATGGTTTGATATTTTGTTGTATATTTTTAGGCACCTTTTTGAGTGATTTCAATACTCTTGTAATTTCTAGAATATTATCATTAAATAATAGCGCAGTTTCAAACTTAGAAATTATTCATTTAAAATTTGAACATAAGATTTAAAAAAGCTTTTGTTGATTAAAAGAAGTTGGTAAGTTATTTTTTTGTATTTAACTATCATATCTTGAATTGCCGGCAGGTGCTGCCCGACATGGCGCACCTGGTGAACCCCTACTGGAGCCGCTTTGCCCCCATGGACCCGATGATGAGCAAGATCCTGGGAGTCTTCACCCTGGTCATCCTGATCATTTCGTGCTGCGGCAACGGAGTGGTGGTCTACATCTTCGGAGGGACAAAGTCGCTGCGCACGCCGGCAAATCTGCTCGTTCTCAATCTGGCCTTCTCCGACTTCTGCATGATGGCCTCCCAGTCGCCGGTGATGATCATCAACTTCTATTACGAGACCTGGGTGCTGGGACCTTTGTGGTGCGACATTTACGCAGGATGCGGATCTTTATTCGGTTGCGTTTCCATCTGGTCCATGTGCATGATCGCCTTCGATCGGTACAATGTGATCGTCAAGGGCATCAATGGCACGCCCATGACCATCAAGACGTCGATAATGAAGATTCTGTTCATCTGGCTGATGGCAGTCTTCTGGACCATAATGCCTTTGATTGGCTGGAGCAGCTATGTGCCCGAGGGCAATCTGACTGCCTGCAGCATCGACTATATGACGCGAATGTGGAACCCAAGATCTTATTTAATAACCTATTCACTGTTTGTGTACTACACTCCGCTGTTTTTGATTTGCTACTCCTACTGGTTCATCATCGCCGCCGTGGCAGCTCATGAGAAGGCGATGCGCGACCAGGCCAAAAAGATGAATGTGAAATCCCTGAGGAGCTCCGAGGATTGTGACAAGAGTGCCGAGGGAAAGCTGGCCAAGGTGGCTCTGACCACCATTTCGCTGTGGTTTATGGCCTGGACACCGTATTTGGTTATTTGCTACTTTGGCCTCTTCAAGATCGAGGGACTAACACCCCTGACTACGATTTGGGGAGCGACATTCGCCAAGACGAGTGCTGTCTACAATCCCATAGTTTATGGCATAAGGTGAGTGGAAAATAAAGTAAAATAATTGGAGGTAAGGAATAGCTTTTATGATAATATGTGTCTAAAAGTATGCAACAATATATTTTTAGCCCGAAATTTATATGAATTCATACTGAAAGACAAATTCACTGCATACTTTTAGACACATATTTTGACAAAGTGATTTTAAATACCTATCTATTTTTGTCAAAATAATAATATTATCACGCTTCTTAATATTAAAAATTGAATATAATTTCTTTGAACTCCCCAAGTCATCCAAAATATCGAATAGTGCTAAAGGAGAAGGTAAGGCATTAAAAAGCCGTTTAATTTATGGATATATTCCCTGACTATTTCCTCTTTTTCCTGTAGTGTCCAATGTGTGTGTTTGGCAACACAGATGAACCAAAACCGGATGCACCTGCTTCCGACACGGAAACCACTTCTGAAGCGGATTCAAAGGCTTGAGTCGAACGAACTCCCATGCAATTGCCTTAAAGAGGCACAAAAATGTAAAAAAAAAAAGTGATATGCAACATCATAAAATGATACAAAAATGTAAAAAAATATGAAATAAATTTAAGCATAACAGCAAATACATTTGGCCACGTTCTTAGACTGTTTAAATTACAGAAATAGAATTAAATAGAAATCTTCAATTTCATTTTAAATATTTAAACTAAATTTTCTTTGAATTTTTACTACCCAGTGACTTTAACGACAGCCTTTAAGAATGCAATTAAAGCAGGGCCAATGATTGAACCTCCGAATGGAAATTTGCATGCATTTTGCTACTTGCCCCTTGCATTCTCATTAGTCGCATCGCCTTGGAATTCGCCTCATTTCGAGGGAGCTTGGAGCAAGGAGGGCCCTCCAATGTCGCTGGATCCACAATGCCAGTGAGTCCCAGGGCGTCTCGGGCAGATTCATCTTCATTGACACACATTTCCACGCAGCTAATGTCGCTATTTGCTTTGTGAGGGTTTTGTCTCGCGTCTAATGATTATAATTACGAAACAGCAGCCCCCAGCCATCCCCCCCACCACCACACACATTTGCCTAATGAGCACTAGACTGGCATCCAAACACCCAAACCCCTCCCCAAATCCCACCCAAAATGAGATAGGGAACTGCACTGTCGGGTCGTCTCGAGTTGACTGTCTAATTAAAGTACAACACAGGGTTGCAGGGAGGGCACAAAGAAAGCAGACTTGACGCCTGCCTGCCAGGGATCCAATGGGATTCCAGGGTCCAATATCATCACAGCCAGATTTTAAGTCTACTCGCTCCGTTGGCCGCCTGCGAACCCTCGCCAATTTTGTTGTAGACCTTCAATCGGTCCAGATGCAGATTGATAACGTGTCGGATGCAGTCCCTAAACCGCTCGAGCTGTTCACCCTCGTAGTATTTTCGAATGCAGACTGTCGTCTCGATGTAGACACTTTCGATTACCCCGCTGGCATCCGATTTCTTCTTATTCGGCAACTTGCTGTGATAGTAGAGATGCACCTGCTTATCGACGCTCATGGCTTCCTTCCTGGCCTCCTCGATCCTAGCCGCATTGGTGAAGTTCGTTTCGCTGGCCACGTCGCTGGCCATTTGCTCCCATCGCGGGTGAACTGATGCCCAGGTCGCGAGCAAAAATGTAAGAAAACAAAAAAATCCAAAAGTGGTTGACAGCCAACTCATCGTACACTAAGTGTTTAAACTTAAAAAAATATATAATTTTTTGCAGACAACGATTTGGGAGAATGAATTTCATCGCATAATTTATCTGTATAAATAGTTTTTGGTTTTTTGTAACAATGCAATAGTAGTAAAATGTATAACAAAATTATAAAATGATGAAATAATTTGTATAAAAAAACATTGACATATTACCTTAATAAGCCCATAAAACCCCAAAAATTATATTGTAAATCATTTTAGGTAATTTGCATTTACAATTAAAATAATTAAGCGAGATTTTAACATTTTTTATTTCTTTTTTTATTGTTTGAAGCTGATGTTGTATATGTAAAATCAAAATACAATTTTTTAAATACAACTAGAAAACTATTAAAGTGAGATTTCACTGATATCTAATTTTTCTCTCCACTTTTTCTTGTAGGATATTTGAGGATTACCAGAACAATCCGATACGCGAAGCCCCCGAGGTGGCTCCATAGATGGCCCAATGCTCCCCGGCCAACTGATCCAAAGCGGTATAAAAGCCAGCAAATACGGCATTCACACAAGTCTTGTGACTGCTAACATTCAGCGTGGATCTAAGCTCCGTTTCGCAGTGGGATAAGGCCATTTTCAAGGTGTCCAGTTGATCTTTGGCATCATTCTGAGCATCAGCATTTGTTGGTAGTTTTTCTCCGGCAATAACTTGAGCGGTTTTGAACAGATCATTGGCCCATTTAACAGACTCATCTACGGTCGCATTTTGACCCAGCGATTGTCCGGTCTGTTGAGCAGATATTTGTAATTAATACATTTAATTAAAATTAAATTAAATTACCAAAACAACCAAGATACACAAAGCGACCAGCGTTGCACTCGACATTTTCTGGAAACTTTCAGTAACCGACTGAAGACCAATTTTCAAAACTCCAAAGACAACCGAGCTTATCTATTCTATTTGCTCTCCGATAGAGTTTACAGCCTCCTTTATCTGTCTTTATCTATCTATCTGGGTGCAGCACAACACGATAACCTCAACCCCATTATGTTTTATGTTGGTCCATAACCGTATATCTTTGGGTTTAATTAGATAACTTTATCAGCGGAAGTGGCACTCGGAGATCAAATAACAGTAGCTAAAAGTGCTAAAGGCAAACAGCGAATAAACACCCGCCGTTTTGAGGATGATTCACCATTCGATTCTGGTTGAGAAGAGATTTAGATTTTCACCAATTTATATAAATCGGCTGGCTAACAAACGAACTAACGAACTTTGACACAGGGAAAAGCCGCAGAAATTGTGTTGCCTACTTTGGGGTGCGCCCAACTTTTGCATCAAAAACAAAAGCCGCAAACCCAAAACAAATTTACATACATGCACTTTCGAAAGGGGAGCGTGTGTCGCATTTGGGTTTTTTTTTGTTTTTTCTCTCAACCAATTTCGGCATTTAGTATAGTCGTATATACACTTAGTTGGGCAGCCCGAATGCGGCTGGATTTCATTCTGTGCTCGCCATTACCATTTTTTTGGGCTGCTGCTGTTGCGTGAATTTCAAATGCCGCAACTTTTGCATTACCAAAACAGAGCTTAGGGGTGGTTTGGGGTTTAGTTTGGAGTTTTAAGTTTGGAGATTGGAGGGTTGAACGAGGAGTTCGCGGCTAACACTACACGAAACTTTTGCAAGCTTTCGTTGTTGTAATGACAACGGGCAACTCAAGTTTGAATCTTGAAATATTTCAATTAAGTGGCTCAAAGTTTGAACTTCCCTGCTCCTCTTTTACAAGAGGGTGTTGTGTGTAGGTATGTTGGAAATTTACATTTAATTACATATTTGAATTTGAACTCAAACTCAGCCATTCAGGCTTTGTTCGTGGCTTATCCATCATCCAGTTGGCCAGTTGGCCATTTGTGGCCAGTCTTTGGCTCGTTAGGCCAAGCCATTTAATAACCACAGGTCCCAGGCTCGGAATTCGGATTCAAATGCAAATGCCATATCAAATCGAATCGATCTGAATCCGAATCGAATCGAATGGCCGGCAATTTGGGTGAGGACATTGGATAATTGGAGCCGCTGCTGCATTGGCACATAAATCAACATTGCCGCTGCAACTGAACGCAACTCAAGCGAACTGAACTCCCGACCCGAACCATCGGAGGACCAATTGAGAACCAAATCATGCACTGGAAACAATTTGGCAGCGCCAATTGATAAATGCATAAAAGGGCTGTCATAAGGCCCCTGACCCATCAAAAAAGGAAGGCGAAGGCAGGGGAACAAAGCATAACGGCTAAAGCAGAGGAAGGCAGTTCAAATATTTGGCCAAAATGCGTCAAGTTCCAGCGATGGTCCAGAACGACACAAGTGTGCGTAACAGAGATGACGATCTAGGCAAATATTTGCCAATATATATAAAATTTCATTTCGTTGTATAATAAATTATAAGTTATTTTATAAATTTTTTTTATTTTCTAAGCTACGGTTGTATTGTAAAATGAACCATATTTATTTGGAATCTTTTAATTATGGTTTTTATACGTTTGTACTACACAAAAAAAAAAACTTAGTAAAATCAACTGTAATAATTGTCAAACAGGCCCCAACCAGCAAAATTGTCAATTCTACTAAGTAAATAGTCATTTCACAACAACAAAATACACACAATTAGCAAAGACACAAACCCAAAGCAAAAACAAAATACTTGTAACTATTTTAATAGTTACGTAACTATCTTTGTTGGTCAATTTTACCAAGCAAATTTTTTTGTGTGTATACATTCATATTATGTAGTATATATTCTCAAATAAACCAAAATACCATCAGTGAATTTTCTAAATTATAAACTAATTTTAGCAGATACCGAATATAATTATTAAGTTTTTTCTTATTTTTAAAAGTCTTCTGCTACTTGTAATAAATTTAAAAAAAATCTTGTATTATACTGGTCCACAATTAGTGTAAAAATTAGCCAAAATAGAAATAAATATTTTATTGTCATTCCACAAAGTGTTTAAAAATCAACCCTAAACGGCTAAAAAATAAAAAAATTATGTCCGCAATCATCTAAGACATTTTTTAGAAATTTATATTTCATTTTATAAAACGTAAAGTAACTATTTTTGCATGCTTTTAGCCATTTTAAACTTTTTTATTTTATTAAGTTTTTGCTCTGGCTTTGAGCTCTTAATAATGACATCACTGACTTGTAACATCCTTTTGGTCGAGGTCGAACCGTCAGGACGAACTAGGATTTTCGTGATGGTGACGTGAGCAGCCAAGTATTTGCGCCCCGAAAAGCGTCAAGAAGGCAACGCCAAAATTTGTAATTCCCGATGGGAAATTTAATAAAGCAGCGGAATGCAAAGCTCGACCGGCCACATCAAAGCATGTCCTAGGTCAGGACTCCCATCCTGGCAACCCACCCCACCGCACCCCAACTTTAGCCACCGCTTTTACGAAGAAACAAAAGGAATTCCTGCATTAAACTTATTTTGAATTTTATTGCATCTATGTTGGTCGATTGCTAGCTAAGTTATATTGGTTATTTTACTGGGGGCAGCAGGAACAGGGAGACAGGACCAGGGGATCCCAGGATCCAAGGATCCTAGACAGGAGCCGCGGTGGCGGCCAAGCGAGCCTGCCACTCGTCATCGATGACCTTCAGCTGGTTCTTGGCGTTGGTTAGCAGGGGCTTCACACAGCGGATTTGCAGCCAGGGGAGGGTGGCGTTGTTGCAGCCACTGATCGCCTCCTGGGAGGTGGCCACCACTTCCTGGACACGCTCGGCCAGATCGACGGGGAAATCGGGCTGCGACAGCAGACGCTCGGCCTCACGTTGCAGGACTATCGACTGGAAGAAGGAGGAAATCGAGGCGCCTCCAAAGGGAGCGGCAGGAGCAACGGGAGCAGCAACTCCAGCGGCAGCTCCTGTTCCGGCACCACCGAAAACTCCATTCAGGAAGGGATTAAAGGCAGCCGCATAGGGATTGGCAGCGGCAAAGGGATTTCCGGCAGGGCCCTTTTGGGGAGGGAATTATGAAAATTCCGTTAGATAATAATCCACTTAATGCGGGGTTTGTTTTATTTCCTCACCTGGGCGCTGATGCAGGCAATGCTGGCCACGAGTAGAACAATTGCGAATTTCATTTTAATTAGTTTATTTTTTCTGAGTTCTGTTCGTTCTCAGTCGTTGTGTTGGTTTCGTCGAGACTAATTGCTAAAACCACTGTGGTCCGCGGCTTTTATACGCCATTAAAAACACGCCGAGACGGCGATCTTATCTTTTATATCTCAACTATATCTGGCTACTGCGATTGAACTGATTTACATGTTCATTGTTTGTTCGGCATTTGGCGGTGTTAAGTCCCCTTCGGGGGTTATCTGCATAGATAATAAAGCCCAGTGTGTGTGTGCAGGAATGTCGGAAAGTTGCTACTTCATGCGGCAACGTCACTGGTTTATACAATGCCAAGGGGTTTATCTAGACCTTTCCGCTTGAAAATCTTGAGCCCACTTCGGAAAAGATTAAATTGATTGTTTTGCTATTGCATATTTTTGCACAAAATAGGTTAATAAAATGTTTATTTCAGTGTGAATCATCAGCTTTTTATGATATTGTTTTCATTATCATTATTTCCAGTCATTGTTACCATTTTAAGCATTTATTTTCTTTCCTTGTTTGAATATTAATATGTTAGAATGTTGCGCGCCAAAATGTTAAGTTACCGTTACAGCTGTTAACTTATCAGAATACCATAACAGAATACCGTTATTTAATAGCATCAGTGATTTAAAGAAAAAATGTTAAATTACTGTAACAGCTGTTAACTTATCAGAATACAATAACAGAGTACCGTTATTCAATAATTTTAGTGATATTATCCCAAGTTCAACTTAACAGTCTGTTGCACTAGCCGCCGATTTAAACTTAATTTGAGTGAAATTGAGCGAAATATATATTCAAGGAATATTGGTCTAGATTGTTACATATTTCAACAGGACAATCATTTAAAAGGTCCGCCCATTCCATACATATTATTTTGGTTGGGGTCTCCGCTATACCACCTCTGTTAACTTTTAACAGAGTCTGACCATTTGTAGTATTTTCGGTATATTTAAAAATACCAGCAGTACATTTTCCACAGCCGTGTGGTATTTTTTCGCGGTCACACTCCCGAGTGCCGTTGAAAATTGTTGTACACAGGCGAGATATTGATTTTTGGCAGCCCGAGAGGAAAAGGCGACCCCAGCGCAGAGCCAGCGAAAGAGCCCCCGCCCCCCTGCGCGCGACCAGTAGTAGTAGTAACGACTCACGGTCCTTCAAACATTACGCAGCCCAAGGTTCTGTTCTGGAAAAAATCGAAGATTACGAGCAGAAGAGCCTAAAGCCAGAGAGCAGAAAAGAGGGCAGAACGTGCAGAGCAAGCGAAGCGAGTGAAAGTGCCAGCCAGTAGAGCTCTGGAAAAAGTAGAACTCGAGCGCTACTTTGGGTTCTGAAAAGCAGCAGCCTCCAAAAAAAGAGAAGAACCCCCCACGCAAAGGTGCAAAAGCAACCCCCGCGGAGAAGAGAAGCGAAGAAAGGGAGCAGGTGAAAAGCAGTGCAGTCCGCGTAAGTCTTCCAAACGTAAACGTTTTATAAATAGAATTGAGGAATAGGAATCCATTCCCCCAATCAACCATATCCACCCATTGATGAATTCGAAATGATATTGACATTGAAATCGAAATCGAGTCTCGACTAACCCAACCCAACCCCGTTCACAGCAACTGCGTCGAAGCCCCCATCCATTGAAAACCCGAGGAAAGAAAAACCAGAAGACAGCATCGCCATGGCTTTCGCCGGACTGAAAAAGCAGATCAACAAGGCCAACCAGTATATGACGGAGAAGATGGGCGGTGCGGAGGGCACCAAACTGGACATGGACTTCATGGAGATGGAGCGAAAGACGGACGTCACCGTGGAACTCGTGGAGGAGCTGCAGCTGAAGACGAAGGAATTCTTGCAGCCAAATCCCACGGCCCGGGCCAAAATGGCAGCGGTCAAGGGCATCTCGAAGCTGTCGGGTCAGGCCAAGTCCAATACTTATCCGCAGCCGGAGGGCCTGCTCGCTGAATGCATGCTGACTTATGGGAAGAAGCTCGGCGAGGACAACAGCGCGTTTGCGCAGGCGCTCGTCGAATTCGGCGAAGCGCTGAAACAGATGGCCGACGTCAAGTATTCGCTGGACGACAACATCAAGCAGAACTTTTTGGAGCCACTGCATCATATGCAGACCAAAGACCTCAAGGAGGTGATGCATCATCGCAAGAAGCTGCAGGGCCGGCGTCTGGACTTCGACTGCAAGCGTCGCCGGCAGGCCAAGGACGATGAGATTCGCGGTGCCGAGGACAAGTTCGGTGAATCGTTGCAGCTGGCCCAAGTGGGCATGTTCAATTTGCTCGAGAACGATACGGAGCATGTCTCCCAGCTGGTCACCTTTGCCGAGGCACTGTACGACTTTCATTCGCAGTGCGCCGACGTCCTGCGCGGCCTGCAGGAGACGCTGCAGGAGAAGCGCTCCGAGGCGGAGAGCCGGCCACGCAACGAGTTCGTGCCCAAGACGCTGCTCGATCTGAACTTGGACGGCGGTGGCGGCGGCCTCAACGAAGATGGCACGCCGTCTCACATTAGTTCGAGCGCCTCGCCGTTGCCCTCGCCGATGCGCTCGCCCGCCAAGTCGATGGCCGTAACGCCGCAGCGCCAGCAGCAGCCCTGCTGCCAGGCCCTCTACGACTTCGAGCCGGAGAATCCCGGTGAGCTGGCCTTCAAGGAGAACGACATAATAACCCTGTTGAATCGCGTCGACGATAATTGGTACGAGGGCGCCGTGAATGGCCGCACTGGCTACTTCCCGCAGTCCTACGTCCAGGTCCAGGTGCCCCTGCCCAACGGCAATTAAGCTGTTCTTGATCCCGCACTCCCATCCCAACCAATCTATCCTACCATCCTATCAAACTGAAGCTGAAGACGTACGTAGATCGCGGATTGGAGAACAATAACCTTAATGTTGGTTTCGCCATCAGAGGCGCAAAATTGGGCAGCCGAAGCAGCAGCAGCAGCAGAAAATATATATATAGTTGAATTAGAAGAGCGGGTTACTACGATTACGGATATTACGATACGGCTTAGCTAGCGGCACACAGCAGGCTAAATTCATGGTGGCCATAATGCAAGCTAACTAAATTTTATGTGCGAAATTGTACCAGTTGGCAACACAATAATTAACAAATTAATTACGAGTTAAATTAATGTACGTATTAACTAACTAAATTTACAAGACGTTACGCGCGCAATGCGACTTCCTTGCGTTTTTCACCTTTGATTCTTGAACGTCAGCGTTTAGTGCTAACTTCACACAATAGCTCACGTATTAGAACAGTTGGCCAGCGGCAACAGCAAGCAAAACACTCTAGCTAATTAACTAAATTACCCGTACTCTCGATCAACCATGGAAGCGCGTCTCTTTTCGTCTTAATTCCCCGAGTCTTTCTTTGCTCCACAGCCTATCTGACTTTTATCCGGTCTCATCGTTGTAATTTAAACCTAACTAAACCAATGCGCTCTCTATGCAAAGTCCCCTTATAGGCTAACGCTACGTATCCACATCATACGCCCACATATATTTATTATATACCCGAAATACCTATACCTACTCTACCTACGTATATTTGTGCAAAAACAATACTCCCCACACTCTATTCTAAAAGGCATACGGAATACCGTTCTTGATGTTCGTTGTTCAATGTAAAGAATACTTCAAATTTTTTCAAAAGGATGAAGCGAAAGCGAAATTTGTATCCTACTTTTTGCTCCTTTTTATGTGTGTTGTTTTTTTGTTAATTATATACATAATAACTATATATATATTAAATGAAATCAAATATATGTATAAATATATTTATTAAGCGTATTATCTACATGTATATTTATTATTATGTATTTATTATAAATTATACTGAGCAGCAACGTAAACAATATAATGAATATTTAAAACGATGATAACAGATAACAGATAAACAGTACTAGCGGCAAAGTAAATGTAACAGAATCCTCCTAAGAAATACCAACCAGCATAAACTAGTTAAACGATTTCCAGAAAAATGTTGATAATAATAACTCTAAACGTAAGCAAAATCCAGTCAAGTCAATCGAAGCATAGCAACACTTACGAACCTACTAACGCGATTACTAACCGCAACTCTAGATCAAATATTTATATATTTAAAGAGAGGAGCCCAACACAAAAATATAATGATAAAACTCAAACGACAGACCGATAAAATTATTAAAATAGTCTCATGTTGGCATATAACGGAAAAAGCTATGCACGATATACGAATGTATATGCGTTCGAACAGATATACACAAGATATATTTACGTATAACGCGAAATTGAATTGAAATCCATGCAACTTGTGTTGATAATAAATTAGTTAAATGCCGAAAAGCAAGAAAAACAATTTAACAGAATTATATTTGAGAGCGAAGATGAAACATTTGCCCCGCGGACGGACGGACAGAGAGCCAGTGCGAAAATTTCCAGAGGGCCCCATCTGGGGACCCTCAGTATCGCCTGGGATATCTTTCCTAGCACACAACACACACTTGTCCCCACTGACGAGGGCAGAGATTTAAACAATAATTATTGTAATTATGCATTTGTGTGGGCGGTAACTTAAATAATATACATTATAAACCATATACATATAATAATTACGCTAAAACTGAAGACCCTAATTTACGCAAACCAAAATTAATAAAATTTAATTTTTAATGTGTCTTTCGTTCAAAGTCATAAATGAGAAAAATCGAAACGGCGTTTACTCTTTGATATTTGCCAGCTGACCTTAAAACGTGCTGCCTGTTGTGTAACACTGACTCGGATGCTGTTCATTTGTTGAGGATGATGGGATTGGTTTGGGGTTGGGGATTCAGGGGCGGCGCCACCAATAAACCAGAGAAGAAGCATTGAAATTTTCGATTTTCCACACAAACGCACGAGCGGAAAAGTGGGACTCACCCCCAAGGCAGCCTCCCCTTTTCCTTCATCGTGGGCTCCCCAGTGGGCATGACATTGAAACGTGACGCAGCATCCACCCCCTGGGTCCTATGCCATCCCTCCACCCCCAAAGTGGCTGAGGTCATGCTGCCAGGACACGAGTGTTTGTCAGTCTGGGCTGATGCAACCATTGAGGCTGACTGGCGAATTCGTTTTCATTCTCTGCCATTTCCGAGAGACAAGTTTCCTAGCACGTGAAAGGTGAAATTCAAGGACAGGTTCTAATTGTTTGTTTATGGCCATCTTATAGTAGCCGTTTTTAAAGACCTAAATTTGTTTAGTAAACTGGAAAATTAATTTAATTGCTGGAATGAGGAAACAACCAATGTTTACATTTGCTTTGATTTTGGTTGTGTTATTCTTTTCGTTATTTTTATTAGGAATCCACTGTTTTATAAATAGATTACAAAGATCTCTAGACTTTAATGTCTTGAAAAGAAATATAATTAAGATCTCACTCAACTATGAAAGTTCAAATAAAGTTCATATTATTTTTTGGAACATTTAATTAATTTTTTGTCCATAATATTTTTCTTTTTTAATAGTGTGACAAAATAATATTATTTACCCTTCATCTTGAGTAGACAAGCACTCGAGTTGCAAAATATTTAAAATATCTCTAAATCCTACTTTGCTGATCAGAATTGTAATAGCTCGTGAAGTGAAAAACAATGAAATGGTTGTGTTATCAGCACTTTGAGGTGTTTTTATTAAAGGTGCGATAAGACAACAAACACTAAATGGCGAATATTTTGACAGACCTAGAAAAAGACCACATACTCTTCGTACTGGCTGAGGATCTTGCGCCTGGGCCGCTGCAGTGCCTCGTGGCCCAAGGTTAAACAGGCTGGCTGATCCTTGAAGATGCCCTGTTCCTGGAGCACAGCATGCGGAGCACATCTCCAGGGATCCTTAGTTTCCACCTGCCAGTCGAAGAGCTGTTGGCGTAGCTGCTTCAGGGTACCACTGTACTTGGGCTTCTCCGCCAGATTTGTTCGCTCCAAGGGATCCATTTTAATATCATAAAGCTCCCATTCGGGTCTCTGGTAGTATTGCAATAATGAACGATACCACGGCAGTGGTTGTTTGTTGATAGTGGCATTTAGTATTTGCTGGAAGGTGGGTGAGGTATAAAAGTCCTGGTCGATGGGAAAGTCGGCCCAGTAGTTGAGGTTATGTATGAGCTTATAGCGCCTGTTTCGCACCATCCTCATGGGATAGGCCATTGTAACCTCGTGGTAACTGTGGCTGCCAAACACTGAATCTCCCTCTTTTACCGGAGGTTCCTCTTTTAGTACAGCGAGTATTGATTTCCCCACGATCTTGGTGTCATTAGGTCTAATAATCTGAAGAGCTTCCAGTACACTTGGGTATATATCCAGAAGACTGACCATGGCTGCCGTGGTCTCATGATGGCGATCCTCCTTCTTGGGCGAGCTGACAATCAAGGGCGATCGAATGCCATGTTCGTAGAGATTGGTTCTTCCTCCCGGGAAGGGTGGTCCATTATCCGAGGTGTAGATCACCAGGGTCTGATCGGCCAGACCGGCTGCCTCCAGTTCCCTGAGCATCACACCCACTCCCTGATCCAGCCGGGAAATGGTCATATACTGAGCGGCCAGCTCCTGACGCACCACATCCGTGTCGGGCAGCCAGGCGGGCACCTCCAGATTGCGCCAATCGTAGTAGATGGGCTTCCAGTCGGAAATGCTGCCCATTCCCTTCTCGCCGCTGCCCCAACGCTCGCAGAATTCTCCAAATTGCGGGGTGATGTGGCCACATCGATGGGGATCATGGAAACCGACCATCAGGAAGAAGGGCTTGTGCTCCTCTTTGGCTTGTTTTAGAAACTGCCTGGCGTACTCCTTCATCCGAGTGATGTTCCTGCCGATTTGGTTAATTGAATGCTGCTCTTCGGTTTGCTCGAAATCAAAACGGAAATTGCCAGCTGCTCCCACATGTTTCTTGCCAATGATGCCGCTCAAGATGCGGCCACCACTTTGATCCCGGATTAAATTGGGCAGTGAGCTGCTTGTCTGCGGCAGGACATTGAAGTTGTGAACCCCCTGATGGAGTCCGTACATTCCACTCGAGTGACCCGCCTGTCCGGTGAGCAACTGCGAGCGACTGGGACTACAGCTGCTCACCGAGGTGAAGGCATTGTTGAAGAGAAGTCCCCGCTTGGCCAGCGCATCCAGATTGGGAGTTTGGCAGAATTTGTTTAGATATGCGCCCGATTCGAAGCCAGCATCATCAGCCAGCAGGAGGAGCACATTCTGCGGTCCAGCGGAGCACCCTCCAATCACGAGAAGTGGAACAATCCACTGGAGCAAGTGCATGATGAAGAAATCTACTGCTAAATACGTATAAAATCTAAAAGAGCCCTAGGAACAAGGCAATTCTTTCGACGTCGTCACCGTACTGAAGTCCGGATCAAGAGAGTCCAATTTAAGTAACTACAAAGTCTCTCATTTCTCCGAGTCAGGCTAAGTCCCATTCAATTCCATTTCCAGTTCCAGTTTTAATCTCCCGCTCACAACAAGAGCTCAGCGGGAGCGCGTCTAGGTACATTCACTTTGCCCGACTTTCTTTCAGAGCGGTTTGACTACAGTGCCCACTCGATAAAGATTTCTACAGTAATTCAATTAAAGAACTAACAATCAAACTATATATACAATAATATTAGAAAACCAATATACTTAACGATATTTTAAACAAAAAGGTCAGCAACTGAATAAATATACAAAAGATAGCACTTTGGAAAGTAAATCACTTTACCGGCGATGTTTTAGAATTAAATTTCTTAACCTTAAAACTTTTAAGTGAAAAGGTTTACTATTTTTAGAGCAAGACAAGTTTTAAAGTGCAATACAATAGTTTCGCAGAAACAGGTATTTTTTTTAAAGAGATTTTGGTTTGTTTTTTTATTTCTGTATTATTTGATTATGATTTAAAATGTACGGTAAATAACATGGGTCGAGACGAACTAAATTGATAATTATTTTGCTTGTTTTTTTTTTAATCTATTTATTTAATAACAATAAAGGTTTCTTATCAGATTTATATTCTGTTTGTTTGTTTTATATTATTCGACTGTTATTATGTTATTAGTGGACTATACGTGTATTCTCCGTGTCTGACATACAAATCCATTTAAATTCATCTAGATTTTGGCATGACTCCGGCCATTAGTTGATCACCACGTTGGGGTTTTCTGATTTTATCATACCACGCAGACAAGATAAAAGCAGGGACAGTGCCCCAATGGAACCACGTCAGTGCTCCTACGCCAAACCCTAATTGCGATGCTATATGTGCAAATAATATATATATGTATTTGCCAGCAGATATCTGTTTGTTTGAATGTAAACTTTATGTACCCCAAAGAGAATAAAGCGCAATTTTTCCAGCGACAACAGCGTGTCAGCAGCAATGGGTTAGAGCCTTATGTAAGTGGACAACCCCCAAAATGAATCATTTGCCGGCTAATTTTAGCCACCTAACAGCCACGGTTTAAGCCACCCCCTTTTGGCCTATATCGCCGAAGGAAAATTTGCCAGAACTTTCGATTGAAAATGTTTAGCTACATTCAGAGTTTTTCGCAGCTTGTTGACAAGAGATTTCCTCTGACTTTGGCAACAAGCCAGCAATCAGCTGGGACTAGACTCCCACACAGCTGTTGCAACGTGTGGCAAGTGTTGCATCAGCCAATCTGACCCACAGAGAGAGAGAGTTTCACTCGCAGGCAGAGAAAGAGTGCGAATCTGTATTGCTTCAGTTGTTGTTGGTGTTTAATGGCAGGCCGCCAAACCAGTTGCCCTACACTTTTTGGAACGGACATAGGCGACCTACCTATGACTGAATTTCAATAAGAGATATTAGACATTATTAAACATTTCCTTTTTTAACAATTTCTATACCAAAAACTTTCCAGTTTATTAACCCTTTCAGATAAAAGCAAACACATTAGCGATAATTTACATCCATTGCACCGAAATTTGTAAATTATCTCGGCGTAGACCTATCTTTAATCTTTTTTTAGCTCCCCTTATCTTTAGTAGCCATTTCGGCGGCACTTGATAAGACTCAGTGTGGCAAAAAAAAATGCTATCTATGCCATTTTGATATTACCTGGCGCGAGCCAAGGCATATTTAGAGTTATGATTAATTTGGCTACGATTTTCGCATTACATTTGAAATATTGCATAGATGTATTGCAAGTAAGAAAATATTTTGTTGTATTTTTAAATGTATTCCTTAATTTTGTATTTAATTTTTTTTTTTGTCTGTTTTGAATAGATTCTTTTTTCTCTGCAGAAAAAATATATATTTTTTTAATTTGTTGATGTATAAGTGTCAAAAACAAATTGATTAATACTGTCGACACCTTTGTAAACTACATTAAACTACTTTGAAGCAGTTAATGATTGCAGAACCCATCTAACCTCAAAGATCAAGTTCATGTGACCCATCCTTAGCATCATGAAAAGAAGGAGATTGGAGAGGAAATGTTTTTGGGGGGCACGGCCGTAGAAATAGACACACAGCAGCTGAGAGCGTGAATGAAATGGACGGCGGGAAGGGTATATAGACAGGGCGGTAGGGGAGAACCCGCAACGACGTCAGCAAAATATTATATCAACCCCGGACAGCGGCAATCGTCCAGCGCTCGCAGTTGAGTCAGTTAGTAACAATACTTCGTCGCGAACAGAACAACATTTCAGTGAGTCAAGGCAGATAAAGCTTTTTGTGTGCAAATCAACGTGGAATTTGTGAAATTTTCGATTCGAGTTTTATAACCCAATCGCACAATCGATCGCGAGTCTTAATGGCATCAACGGCTGAACATCGTTATAAAGATTTCTTATTCATAGAACAATAATTTCTTTTCGTGTAACACGTACCGAGATAAACTCAACGTTGAGTGCAAAGTTCAGAGAGATAAACTCCAGTTTGCCAGAAAAACATTTGCGAAAGACGCAATAAATTGGCCAAAAAAAATAAACAATAAAAAATTACTCCATATATACTTTACATACGGTATCTGAGATAAGAGTTGTATCTAGATGCTATATAGATAAGCGCGTGTGAATTAACACTTGACAAGTACATTAAGCATACGACCCGTGTGACAAGTGGCAAAACACTATAGCAACAGCTGTCGTCTGTACAATAATACCATTCAAAAAGGCTTTTAGCCCCAATATTATGTTCGTTCTGTCTGCGGTTGCTGCAACAACAACAACTACAGTGGCAGTGGCGAGGAAAAGCGGAAAATCCAACATCGCGTCGAGCAAGAACGTCATGCAACATTCGCCTGTCGTTGTCTTCATGTGTGTGCAACATTCCCAGCAGCAGGTTCCCATGCAAAACAACTTTATGTGTATGCGTATGCGTGGCTGGCATAATAACAACTGTTACTGCAACAATTCGATCGACATTATCCCGACGATCACGATCGGCAAAGGTACTACCGGTACTGGTACTACGGGCACTAAGATCCTAGAGCGCTCCAAGTTGCTACGAAAGAAGCGGGACATTCGCATTCGCCGTCGCTTTAGCGTTACCTCCTTTTGAAGCAGATACGAAGCAGTCGAAACAGCCACCGGAAATAAGGAGCAACAAGGATCAACATATTTGTGCCGTCGTCATTGGAACCTGCTAATCAAAGGCAGCACCATGATGAAGGGTAAGATAGATATTATATATTTTTTTTACTATTTTCACAAAACCAGCAACATTTGTTGCTAGACTTTTATTGCTGGCAATGTCATTGACATCATTACGAGTTACATCGCGTATAGTATAGACGAGCCCTCCCTTTAAGGCCCATTGTAAATATACACCTCGATAGGGTAGGGCAAACCAAAAAAGTTAGTTGTTTGGGTATTTCTGTTATTTTATAAAATTTGATTTAATTTTTTTATAATCTATGAGTAAGCGGAACACCAGACAAATTAAATATAAACAAAGGCATTCAACGCGTTATATTTTCATTATAAAAATTTTAAATGAGTTGAGGATTTTATTTTAAAAACCAGATTTTAAGGTCAATAGACCTTAGCGAATAAATTTCCATATTCATATTAGCAAAAGTAATGAATTTTTAAAAGTTTTAAATTAGGGTTGATATTGTTTAATTATACAGAAAATATTTAGAAAAGTAAAAGTTAAACACAAATAGAAATAAACAACAAATAACAACAATTTTTTTTCCTAAATTAATATGTAAGGGGATTTACACGATAGTGATTATTTTTATTTTAGACAATTTAATGACGACATATCAATAAATAAATATTACGTTTAAGAGCTAGAAAAAGTAGGCAACCTTCAACAAAATGCACACCAAACAAGTTTGAATAAAACACATTCTTGGAAATACCATAAAAAATGTTCATTAAACTTAGTCAGCAGCTACCACATATTTTGATCACGTTGCAGATAAACGGAAATGATAGCGAATCCTAGATCAAATAAAAACACCTCTTAACGAGGTAAAAAACTAGTGACGACCGCACCTTCAACATACAAAAGTTCTGATATCAACATTTGTGACGAAAAATTATTACACTCGTCATTAAATAGACTTTCTAATATTTTCTCATTCGGCCCGCCCTAGCAAACTATTCCAGCATTTTTCCCTTCACAGGCATTTTCTATTGCAGCGTGCCGAATGAGAAAATATTAGAAAGTCTATTTAATGACGAGTGTAATAATTTTTCGTCACAAATGTTGATATCAGAACTTTTGTATGTTGAAGGTGCGGTCGTCACTAGTTTTTTACCTCGTTAAGAGGTGTTTTTATTTGATATCAGAAGTTTTTGTTTGTTTACATTTGCTCTCATAGGAGCTAATATATACATTTAAATTTAAATTGGTCAATCATAATTTTTAAACTATTGTATTTTAACAAATTAAGTTAAAAAGGCGTTGAAGTATTTTAAAATACCTTTTAAACGAGGTATAGCACATGTCTGTACCTTTAGTAGTGTAGAACTTACAAACTAAAGAAATTTAGCTATTTTTAGCTTTTTCCCGCTAAAGTAGCGGCTTTTTCCAAAAGTCGTAGAACAAAAGATTCCTATATGGAACTCTTAAGTGCAAATTTACTGATTCCATGACCCTAAAATACAGTTCGGATACCCTCCCACAAAATTCAATACTCAGGGAGCGTTAGTTGTTCGAGTTGGCAAAAGTGGCTATTTTCGTATAAAAATAACTTTTAAACGTGACTTTTTACAGTAATGTGTTATATACCAAAATTTAAGGAATCTCAAGGGCTATACAGTTTAAAGTTGTAAGGAAAATCGTTAGAGCCGTTTTTGAGAAAATTAAAAAAAGCTAAAAAAAGTTTAAACAAATTTTATTTTGTTCATATCTTTTTAACTATTACATTTACTCAAATTGCATATAGAAGGCGTTTATAGCATTTAAAAATACCTTTCAAACGAGATGCAGCACAAGTCTGTAGCTTTAGTAGTATAGAAGTTACGGCTTTCCGAATTTTAGCTATTTATAGCTGTTTTCCCGCTAAACTAGCTAGTTTTTCCAAAAGTGGTAGAACAAAAGTTTTTTATATCGATGTGATGAACGTCATATCAAATTTTCAGAACTTAAAAAACATATTTTGGACAAGTGGACAAGTGGACAAGTGGACAAACAGAATTAAATTTTCATTTTGGGAAGACGAAGAAAATCTTATTTTGGCTATAACTTTTGAACGGAGCGTCGGATTTTGACAAATGACCCCTCATTCGACGGGTATTTTTAAAAGGAATACAACTAAAACATTCCCCACCGGCCCCAACAGCTCCAAATATCGAAATTTTAACTTTTTCACTTTCACCGCTCGCTCTCCCAAGCCAATTGATTTTCTTAGAGTCTTGGTATGCAATCCTTTAAGTTTTTGCAATACCTTTCGATAGGTGTAACATTCATTATGATCGGACCATCACAGTAGATTTTCATTTCTTCGTGTATATATAGTAGTCGCCTTCGCACACTCTCCTGGTGCGCTTCGTCACTACATGGACTGCCGTCCATAGTGATAAGATTGCGAAATCGAACAAGGAAGGGGCTTTATGAGCCCAATATCTATCTACACGCTTCGCCATATGAACGCCCCTATCTGGCAAACCCTTGTGGTCGAAAGCGCTCAGTCATCGTGAGAAGACTTAAAGAGTCCCCTGCCCATTCGCATTTATTTTGGCAATTTGCCAACTGAGGCCAACCATTGTTGATGGTCGTCTTCGATCTCCCAAGATCTCGTGCCAGTCGGTGCGCGGTTCGAGATTAGCATTTGAAAGTCAGCGTGTGCGTGCCATTTGGGGGAAAATTCCACGAATTTCGCGCACCTATGTGGGCTGTGCGGATGGCAATTAAGCTCCACCAGCTTTTGGTGGCTAAAATCGGACGACGTGGCCAAATAAATAGTGAAAACCCCACGCCATGTACTTGTCTGCATATCAGGCCCATTACAAATATCACATGATGACAGTTTTTGCCAACTGCTGAAGCTCATTTTGCGCTTTGGTGATTTCTGTTTTTCAGCGTGACTCATGGATTTCTTTAATTATCAGCAAAAGCTGCGCATGTAGGTTTGTGGGCAGATGGAAGCTCTTCGATTCCGAGAATTGAAACAGCTTTTATCTGAGAAAAAAGAGAGGTGACTAATACTATAAAAAGAGAGCTTTTCAGTTTGATTGTGTGGGAAAGAGCTTCACAAAAACAAAATTTCTATACTATACAGAAATTTCCCATGTTCAAATCTCAACGACTTTCGCGTTGTCGTGGGGTTCACAGTCTATTATTATAAAAGGGCAATGATGTCTCAAAGAAATGGGGGTTGAATTATTACGCACAAACAAATAAGTCACCCTTTTATATGAATGTATTGTTATTTTATACATCATACCTATGACAATCCAGGGGTTACATATGACCTTTCCCTAATAAGGAAAGAAAAATCAGAACTGAGAATAAGTTATTTTAGGTCAAGACAGCAAAATCGGAACTTGAAAAAAATCATGGTACACAGACAAAAGATCCACCACAAATAAGTTGTATAAAGAACGTAGCCTCTTTTTTTACAATAATAATTATTAAATCTCTTTACATTTTCAAGAAATTAAATTTATTTTCGCTGTAAATGTATCTTTCTGTAATTTTATAATTAAATGCAAGTTCACAGATTTTTAAAGCCTCGTCTATCCATTTCATGGTCACAATTTTGTGATAGGTCAGTTGACACAGACATCCCGATATTTTATTTCTGCCCACCCAAACAAATGATGACTCATAACGCCAAAGTGCTACCCACACAATAATACTTAAAAAATGAACCTTGCAGCCACCCATGAATACTTATACAGTTGTCTGGGCGCACATAGATCTACTTAGCAATGTTTTGTTTAAGTATAAAAAAAACACCGGCCGGCTGGGCAAAAGGCCCTCAACTTGTGGCTGCTATATGGCAGGGAAATTTCTTCGAAAGCAGGCCATCTGGCACTGGGGAAATTTAGCCCTCTCTCGCTCGCTCACAAAACGTATCTCACAGTACGTGTATCTGAAAGTGAGTAAACACAAAGCTCCGTCGCACACCGATAAGCGAAAAGTATCTGGCTATGGCAGACCGGTTTGTGGGGTGCTTTTTGAATTTCACAACGAATGAAATTCACAGTGCCAAGCAAGACCAACAGTTTCGATTCTGTTTGCCGCTAGCTTGTCGTCGTCGTCGCATCGGACATTTCAAAACGTAGTGAATACTCCAAGCAGTCGGTTGACTCACGCAGACCCCAAGATCCCAAAGTGAATAGTTCTGCCCATACAGCAGATACATTTAGTGAAGCCATATAGATACAGTACATTTTTCCTGTCGCAAGGAAACAAGACAAGAACCCAGTGCAAAGACTTCGCAATCGTTGTTGTTCAACGCGGAACAACAACCGTGGACATTTGTCGGTGTACCAACAGTAATCTTCCTGATCCGAGCAACGGCCGGACCTGAATCCATAACCAAGTGGTGGTGCCTGGAACCACCCAACATATTGCGTAGCAGAAAAGACAAGTGAATTTGCGGTCGGGTTTCGAAAAAAACCAGACCACCGCGCTTGAAGACACATTCACCGCATTTATGTAAGTAGTGGACAAATCAATCTTAACATTCCATAGGCTAGTGCTATATAGTATAGAGAGCTTTAACTTTAACGTCGCCATATTGAATCAATTAAGTGCACTGCTGACGTCACTTGCCCTCGAACGAACGCAGATACAGATACAGAATACTGATACAATCGAATTTTACAATAGTAGGGGATTTTGTTTGTGAAAACATTTAATTATAGGGCTCTGCGAATACGTTTGTGTGACATTCATATATTAGTGTGTAATTAGCCAAAGCTCGCGTGTGCTTTTCGGGGAAATTTTTCCACTGGCCGAGGTAATTGCTTTCTGGTGTTGTTTTTACCGGCCGCACGATTTTCGAGATATCTGAGCGCGATAATAATGTAGCGACACGAACGAACGTGTGCCTTAATTATCTAAGTGACAATTTGCGGGGAGGGTTGGGGGTTTGGAGGGGTTGTCAACCGCTGATTAGACCCCCCACTCCCCCAGTTTCACCCATCTGGTGCTATAAAGACCTGTTGCCCATGGGTCCGCCATATTGTTGTTTTTGCCTTGCCTGTTGTGAAATTCAGAAAAAGCTTTTCGCAGCGCAAGCCGCCTTAAAAAAACAGGCGTGTGGCTATAAGAATCTTATCTGACATTTGAAAGGTGGCCCTATCGAATGAGGAACTATTTGAACCATTTTGAGGTTGAAAAAACAAAATTATCTTTAATTGTAACTGAAGAGTACTTAGGAAAATCCACCTGACCTTATCATAATGATCACCGTTCTTCTGGGGCCTATAAGTAATGTGCGTTCTCCATTTCTTTGCTTACAGCTTAAGGGGAACTTGTGTCGACGACTCTTTTAGAGCTTGTTTAGAGGGACCCTAACAATTTCATTGTTTCTTTCTAACGGTCAATTAAAAGTGAGTATACCACATCCTTTTTTGTCTCATATTATTAAGCCATTCCTCATGATTGCCTGACTCTCTTAGTCCTTGCACCTTTAGTTTGTAAGAATGTTTTAAAAAAAAAAAGAAAAAAGACAAAAAACAAAAGAAAAAAAAAGAGAAAAAAGGAGTAATTCCATTAAAAAAGGAGCTATTCCAATAAAAAAAGGACTAAATCCAAACGAAAAAAGGAGCAAATCCATTCAAAAAAGGAGTAATTCCAAAAAAATAAAAAGGATAAAGTCCAAACAAAAAAAGGAGCAATCCATGTACAAAATAACCAACAAAAGGAAAAGATTTTCAAAATACACAGAAAGAAAATGGGAAAAAATATGGAAAAAATAAAACCATATGAAAAAAAGGAAAGCAAACTAACAAAGCAAGGAAAACACCACTCACATAACCAACCAACCAACCACTTACCCACCCATCTCGACACACAATGCATTAAAAACATCCAAGCTGTTGAAAGTCGCCAAACATGATGGTATAATAGTAGATCGGTGGCCAGGATAATATCCCAGGATATCCCTGCGACACTGAGACACTTGTACATTTGCTAACCCACCCAAGCCACAAGATATTTTGAGGTGCGATTTCCCCAAAAAGGATCGCGCTTCAGCCCGTCCTCGATCTGTGTAATAACAAAATCTTTTTTCTTTTGTCTATTTTCTTTCACATAAAAATCAAAAACCCAATATTACGAACACTCTTAACTGCGCTTGCTCCACTCATCGCCAAATCCTGTCCGAATCGATACGAATACGTATTGAAATCCTGTCGTAACGAAACCGTTTGAAAACGAACCGTACACCGCACACCGTAAATTGCCTTAAACCGAATTTGAATTGATTGAAATCAACCAAATAGCCACGTTCAAAATGGCATTCTCCGTCGAAGCCCAAACCAGCCAAGCCAGGCCCAAGAGCGAATCAAACCACAGCAACCCAATCAACCAAGAGCAGAGCAACCCCAACACCCCCAAGAGAAACACCAAGAGCAACGACCCATCATCGTATTGTACTGCCAGCGAGACCAACAAACGTAGCAACAGCAACAGTAGCGGCAACACCAACGAGGAGGGCTACCGAAAATCCCCGAGATATAATATTGATGATCCAGGAGCCAGCACGAGTACAGGCGGCACCCAGATACCCAGAGGCGACAACCCAGGAGGACAGCGCAACATCCCAGGAAACAGCGGCTGGCGCGACAAGCTCGTGGCCCAATTGCTCCTGCTCTCAGAGGAGAACGAGGCCAACGGAGCCTATGAGGGATTCGCCTACGTCGACGATCACCACAATACCGATCGTGATAGACAGCAAGCCAAATCCCAGAATTCTGCTGATCAGAGTGCCCACAAGCAACAGCAACAACAGCAGCAGCAACAGCAATCGCAGCGGGACAGAGCACAGAACGCCTCGAACTCGCATCATCAGAATACCCTTTTTACCAGGGTCGGTACCAACGCGTCCGCCAGCCAACCAGGCCTCGCCTGCCACGAGTCCCTTAGTAAATCGGACTCCAGATTCGGCGAGGAGGTACCGTATCTCAACGTACCCCACGACTGGGATACGAACACGAACGCAACCAGATACGGTGGCAGGTTCACCGACTACGGCAATGGTGAACAACCAAACGGTCCCGGTTTCTACCAGTCCCGAGCCTCGGACACAGACCCTGGCAGCCATGGCTGGTATCCAGTTGACAGGTGCGGAAGAGCCGCCATCCCGCCGGGATATGAGTGGAGCAATGCCTACTGCCACAGTTGAAGAGATAGACGTTCCGGTGTTCATTGATGGTGAGTACTGTGTTTTGTGTGTGTGTTGCCTTATGTACCCAGCACTCTCTCATTACTGTTGCTTTTGTAAAAACGAAAAAACAAAATCAATCAAATGATTCACAATCAGTTGGAGAAAGAGTCAGATAGCAGGCATCGAGCACAGCGGCCAAGGTCCCAAGGATCTGGCGCTGTCGCTCTGCCAAGGACGTCGAGGTACAGTCACCACCGGTAGCGGACGAAGGCGAAGATCACAGTGCAATGACCCATTAAAGAAACGAGTGAAAGATTGAGGGGGAGCGGGGGGGCAAAGAGGCGCCCCCACTCCGCCCCTGTTCTCGGTAAATGGCAACGTAATTACTCGTACGATCAATATCTTATGGATGTTCGATCTATGTACTTCCATTTATCGGTCACTTCTTTCCCCAAATGTTTCCAACACTTTTCGTAATTTTTTATGTTTTTCGACAATCTAAAATGTAATCTTTCTCAAACATTTACCAAGTTATAGGAACATTTTTCTTTAAAATTCCCCACAAACTGTCTAGAGGTTGCTGAATCTAAAAATGTGACTCATCTTTTTCCGTTCTTTTGATATACGAATTTGCATACATAGTTTGTAGTTTTTTGTAAAGCTAGGTATGAAAAGGAAAATCATGTAGCTCTCAAAAGTGTTGTCACTTTTTTTTTCTTCCAAGAAATATATGCATATTAAATATTTCTATTATTTTAACATGAATTTGACACAGATTTAAACTTCTTCCGTAGCTAAATTTCTTTCTATACTTTTATAAATGTAAATGTTATTCTATTTAATTGTCTTTTTTCATTTTTTTTTTAGCCAGGCTTTCAATTCCGTCGAATTTTCAACTAATAACCTTACTTAATGTGTAAATATTATTTCCGAATAATGTAAATTTTTTGTAAAACAATATGATAGTATTTCAATCAGGGTTAGGACGAAGTTGATAAATTGTAAAATTAATTTGGCCGTATATATTAATTTTTTAAAGATGATAGATGTTCTCACTTACCATTTCCATTTCTTTGACAGAAAAAAAGTGACGTCGGCTTCCGATTTAGATTCTCCATATTCCTATTTATTTCACTTTTTGTTTCGAATTTTCACTACTTTGTATTTCACTTTTTGAGATTCCAAGGTTTACTTTTTTTTCGTTTTCCTTTGTTACAAGTTCTTATCGATAGAGTTGATGCTAAGCGCTCGGTGACTGAGTGAATCATTGGTGGGTATGGGTACCAGTACCATCTTAAACTAATTGCGCAGTTTAAATTCCGTTTTGGGTCTAACTGTCAGCACCCGTGGAGCGCGAATGAAAGCGATAAGCCACAAGAAAGCGAATAAAAAGTGTGTATCTGTGTAATGACACGAACTGGAAAAGAATTTGCTAATATGTGTTCGCATGTAAAAATGTGTAGAGCGAGGGATTTCATTGTCCAATCAGAATCAGAGTTAATATCGTACCACCAATTATTTATATGCACACACTTATAATTGTTACCCCTTCGACAAATGCAATGTGTTAGTGACCGATGAGCTGTCCAGATTCTACATATTTGTGCAAAGTTGGGAATAAATTTTTTTTCTTTCTTTCTTCTATGTATTCCACCCACTCAAGGTTACTATTTCCATATATTCACGAAACTCAAGGCAAATTTATAATATTCTCCTTTAGATTTTTGCTCCTCTGACTGATCGTTATTAGAGTCTGTTGTTTTTGCTCGCCATTTTCATATTAAATATTTGATTAAATCAAAATTTTCTCAATAAACGCGTAGATTAGAAATGTTTGCCTTTTCGGCCAAAATAAGTATTATTTTTAATTAAACAAAGGGGCTTGTTGGCCTGTGACGTCAGAGTCGAGAGAGTGCAACAGCTGATTCATGACCCAAATTCTCACCGCACGTGTTTCTAGCCGGCAAATGCAACAATTTTCTATTTACCTATACAAATCGATACATAAGAAGAATTTTTAAAAATTTTACAAGTGTTTTAGTTGTGACAAATAACAGATTTTCTTAATTCGCTTTCCATATTTAATTGTACTCAGATTCTTTGTTCTTATTAGTGTTCTTTTTATTTATTGTGAAATTCAATAAGAATGATCTGCGAAAATCGAGAGAGGGAGAGAGATAGTTTGCAAGAAACACCGACACGACAACGGACACCTGCGTGGTGTGAGTGTGTAGGTGTTCTCTCTCCAGCTCTCTCGCTCCAGTTTCCTATCGCTATCTCCCTTTTGCTTCCTCGGCACGCGAGCCGCCCGCGCCGCTCTCAGTGAAAGAGATAGCTGTACTTGCCGACCGGCAGAGAGAATGGTACTCACAGAGAGAACAAAAGTAAAACTCGGCTCAATCGCTCTCTCTCACTCTCTTTCGCGTTTGTGTGTTTGATTTTCGGCCAAATGCATTGCGTATACGCAATGTTTCAACCTAAGGGAGTTTTTAATTATTTTTGTTCTTTGGCATAAAAGTTTTAGCTTTGTTTAATTGTCTTTCCTTAGAGTTCCGAGCGTTTCTTACGCGAGAAAATAGGTATTTTTGTCACTTTGGTGATCTTGTCCCGATCGTTTGATGCACTTTTCGTTAGACAAGCGCACTTTTACTTAACAAACGCACTTCCATAAATGGTATTTTCGCGAACCTTCTTCGCTCTGGTGAAATTCGAGTGGCATTGTATTAGTGCATCCGAACAGTTAACTCAGTTTCGTGGGCCTATGCCGGTCAAAAATCTATGTAATTGGCAGAAGAATATTTGACTCGGGCGACATCGGCGACCGCGACGCCGAAGCCGGCAGAGGCTCTCCGGGCCTCTCTCGCTCTAACCCTTGGCCGTAAACTTGCTGCGGTGCGAGCGAGAGGGATAGTGGGACAATTGTTGCGCAGGCAACCAGCTGTTGCTGCTGTGTTTGTGGAGCACACGCGCAGTGCCTCTCGCTCTCTCTCTCTCTCCCGCTTCCGCACACCATCGCAAGGGTACCGATATTGGGGGACTTGAGATACAACTTGACACTGAGACTTCACAGTTTGTTTTCAATCGTTGCACCGTTTAGTCGATCTTTCGATCTGCGGATAAATCTGAGTACCAACAGCACTTCTAGCGGTTTTCAAAAACCCAACTTAAGGTGAATATTTTCTGGAATTTAAGAATTAACGATTTGATTTTTTTCTTATTATTCATCGAATTAGAAAATAGTTTCCACTTGCGGGCATTCGCCTCATAATTAACCACTGTTTTTGTTTTCTTTTCGCATTTCTCATTTTTAGATTTACATATATTTTATTTAGTCAGAATTTATGTTTTTGCTCTTGTGTGAAATGTGTGTATGCTTGAAGCCATCCCCTAACGTGGCCGACTCACAGACGCACGCACACACACACACAATAGCTGGAAATGCAAGCATGAACGATCGTGTTCGATTTTCGTGTGGTTGTTGTCAGCCGCGTTTTGTTGCCAAATGCGTCATTGTATGGGGAAGCCGGCCGAGGTGGGCCTTCTACGAATGTGTGCGTGCGAGGGGAAGAAAAATAATGGCTGAAGGAATGTTGTTAACCAAAACTCGAGCGTTTAACTTACAATTGGCAAAGAAAGTAAAGAAAAATTATTAAATATTTTTAAATAGATTTATTTATGGGAAAACTAACCAACTAAAATATTTATTGTTAGCACTTTCACATTATTTTATATTGCTAGCACATATTTAACACTTTGATTGGATTATTATTTTTTAACAAATTATTGTAAAGTCATTTCCCTTTTTTTAAGGGGAAAACCAGCGTATTTTATGTTTTTTCAATTCCCTTTTGCCCTCCGTTTCGTTTCTTTTCCTTCGTTTCTTTTCGTTTTCCTTGGCTAATTTCACAATAAACAGCGAGCGAGATAGCATGTGAATCACAGCGTGTAGAATGTAAATGTCGAGTAAAATAACACAGTGGCGCCGCCATTGCGAGGTACAGCGGAAAAAGTTGGCAACTCTTAGTAGCGACACTTTGTAAATTCAATATGGCGAATAAAAGCATTTATCTACTTGTAAATAAATGTAGATAATGATAGTTACTTATCTACCTGACTTACTCGCTCTTAAAAATAAATTTTTTCAAATCATTTATAGGATTTTATTAATATTGCACTGTTATTCTAACAATTTGATTGGATTACTGACCCCTTTCTCCAAACAATCAAAATTGGGTTCCTAGAATTTAACTGATCATTTAGCACGACCTAATCCAATATTTAACGCCCGATACTTATGATATTTTTTTAATTTTCCCCAGAATACCTGCAAGATATAGAAGCAACGTCCTCGACGTGCAGCAGCGAAAACGGAAAGGAGATTTTTACTGAGACGGATATTCTTGACTTTGATATAAACATGTTTGCCGAGGATCACATTGAGCTTGAGGGCAAGAAGATGGATCCCTTCAGTCCGGCGATGGACGAGATGAACAACGACAATTTAGACAACGACTTCTTACAAATGGATAATCTGCCGCTGGCCAACGAGGAGGAGACTCTGGACATGACCTCGATGTTCGGCATCGACATCAACCAGGACGACCAGGAACTGGATCTCATCAACATCTTCCCCAGTTCCCAGCCTACGTCCATGCTGACCGGTTCGCAGGACCCCTATCTGTTCACCTACTCGCAGGCCACATCCACATCCAGTACCATCAAATACATCCCCGAGGAGCCCCTGATCTCCGACGTGGCCAGCTACGACACCAGCAGTCTCTTTGGCTGCAGCCAGGAGTCGCTCGGCTTCGGCCTAGAGGATGACGTCAAGCCCAGCGGCAGCTTTGCCAGCAGCGGCGGCGACGTTGCCGTGGCCATCCCAACGCCCATCGAGCTCCCCATCATCACCACGCTGAAGCGATCTGCCCCCTCGGCCTCCGTGGTCGAGTCGCAGCCCCTGAAGCGCAGCAAGCTGGCGCTGAAGATCAACACCCAGTCCGCGCCAGCCTTCAGCCCGAGCACGCCCGAAATCATCGAACATCTCCTGAATTTCGATAGGGTAAGTCAAGTCAATAGTTTCTTAAACCAGCATTTGCTAACTTATTTTCCTTCCCATTTACAGCTCGAGGCCGCCAACACCAGCAGCACCAGCAACACCTCCATCAGCAGCAACACCATCATCATCAGCCAGGCAGAAATCGTAGAGGATCTGCGCAGCGTCGAAGAGGAGACCACCACCGACTTCTCGCCGCCGAATACCCCGCACAGCAACTACTCAGCCAGCTCCAGCTGTGCGGCGCCCACCTGCCAGACGGGATTCGGTGGCTTCCTCACTGCCCCCGCCTCGCCCGCCTACTCGGTGGCCAGCACCTCCCAGTTCAGTCCATCGCCAGCCAGTGGCACCAGCAATGGCAGCAATGGCAAGCGGAAGCGCGGCCGTCCTGCCAAGGATCATGCCGACGGACCCGATCCCGATCTCATGTCCCGCATGAACGGCGAGGAGCGCAAGGCCTACGAGGACAGGATCAAGAACAACGAGGCCAGCCGCGTCTCCCGCCGGAAGACGAAGAAGCGCGAGGAAGAGGAGAAGAGCGCCGAGGACGAGCTGGTGGCCGAGAATCTGCGACTGCGTGCTTTGGCCGACGAGGTGGCGACCCAGGAGCGGAAGTACAAGAAGTACCTGATGGATCGCCAGAGGAAGAACAGCACCTACCACGTCAAGCAGGAGCACTGAAGCAGCACTGAGATTCTCGTAGCCATAGAAATTGATAGGAAAACCAACTATCGTGACCTTAAGATTGTCGCATATTGCGGAGCATAGCCTTAGTCCGAGCACACACCTCGTCGTCATCCATTTGTTAAGTTATATAAGTTGTCGTTGAAGAAGAGTCGAGAAGAGAAGCAGAAATCAAATTTCCAACTGGGCATCAATTTCGCACGAAATGATGTAAAACGTAAAACATTTTAGCCACTTACTAGGCATACAACGGGCGCCCATTGAGCGCGAGACGTGTTTAATTATAATTCTATTTTTATTATGTTTGAGAAAACTAAAATTTTTTGTACCCACATATATGTTTTTTTCGTCCTAAGTGTAATCAACAAAAAAAAAAACTCAGAAAAAGCACAACAAAAAAATAATGATTACGATTTCGTATGTTTTAACCCCATTGATGAACAAAAAAAAGTTACAAAAATGTCAACAAAAAAATATGCTATTGTTAAGAACAATTGAAATGTATATTTTACCGATATCGACGTATATAACCGTAATCGTTTGAATAAAGAGCATGTTTCAATAAACATGACAAAATCAAAAAAAAAAATTGTATTTACTGTGGGATTTTCTTATTAATTTGATTTCCTGATAATATAGTAAACAAAGTTAGTTTAGGGAATTCTGTTTAGAATTCAATGTACAATTTTTATTACAACCATTTTGGGGTCACAGACAATAGACAAATTGTATTTTTCTATTTTTTTTTATTAAACTGTTAACCATATTCTTGTAGACATACTCTATGATCGTAAACTAAGGATTGCACCGACTGAAAATTTTGATCAACTGCCGAACGGATTTAACTAAATAGGCAAAACAACAAGTTTGGGATAGACTCGATTGGAATTGGGATTTGTGAGCCCTGAGAAAACGACGCAAGCGTCACGACAACTTCGCGATTCGAGATTCAGCCGATTGTGCGGGTGTGATTCGCGGCAATTACTCCACCACTTGGGCTTTGAATTGGAGGGCAGTGCAATTTGCTAGATGTTTGTTGCGTGTGGTGGCAGTAAATTGCCATTAGCTGTTGGGTAAACATTTGAAGTGACTTCGCGCGTCGTTCTCGTGGGGGCAATGGGATTCAAGGCTTCATCGTTTATGCCTGCTGCTCCTTGGAACCGTAATTGTAGTGCAGGAAGCGCAGACCCTGGATCGTTTGGGCGGTGGCATTGGTGGCGTGGCAGGCGAAGAGCAGCCAGTTACGGGGCTGCACCTTGTAGGCAAATCGCATGAAGATGCAGGAGTAGAGGGTCAGAGCTGGAATATATAGAGGATTAGTTTATGAGGTTTATTAAATTATTAAAGCACAGAGAAACAATTAAGCTAAGTTTAGTAATTAGAAAAAATATTTAAGAAGTTGTATAGTATTTTTAAAAGATTTTTCCGATGATAGGTTCGAAATAAAGGATTAAAATACCCAATCAAACTGGACTCATTTTTTCTCTGTGCACTCTTATCGGCAGCCGTTTCGACAGTTTCCGTATCTGGCTTATCAGGCCATATAGAGTGATTTGTTTAGAACATATCACAGCGGCTCTGATTACGACATCTTTGGCGAAAACTTTCGATGGCGGCGCGTGTAGCCAAACACTAGATTAAGGCCCAAATCCTTACCCAATGTCATTTTGCCGGAGATAAATTTGGGACTCTTTTGTGTGTCCGCCAGAGCAGCCACGGGAATTCCCCAATTGGCCACGGGTCCCCAGAAGTGGGTACTGCAAAAAAATATATTAATAATATATCGTAATAAATAGTAACCACAACGAACCTCATAAAGTAATCCCGCCACTCCTTGGAGGCCGTTGTGGACATGGTACGCCTGATCGACATGATGCTACCTTCTGATAATTGAATGTATCTAACCAGGAATATTAATCAGACGCGCACCTGGTGGAATAATAATTTAGATTAGATTGTCTCTGTGCCGCGCAATATATAAATCCGAAAAAATCCCCTCAAGGTCTTACAGGTTGTTCGTGTTGTTGTTGTGGCGTCAGCTGTTGTTGTTGTTTACCCTGTCTGGAACACCTTGATCGAAAATACAAAGAATTTGGAACTGCAGGCCGGGTTGCAGATGTGCTATAAAATCACAAGCTGCGATTTCTAATTTGTTTATGTGTCGGGCCTGTTGTCACTCCGAAAGTTATATAAAATTTAGTGAAACGAAAGGCAACAACGGGTTTTTAACAGAGTGTGCGTAGACTAGAGGTGGAAAAATATCGATGTTTTTTGGCGACAATCGATGTTTTAGTCACATCACAAATTTTAAAGTAACGGTCGCGAAAAATGTGTTTTTATTTTAAGTTAATTACTGTCATGCGAGGCTCCACAGGGGGTGATATGAGTATAAATCACCCCCACCTCTAGTCAAAAATTAAAGAAAATTTGCTGTTCAAAAAGTATGCAACAAACTGTTTACTGTATTGGTGGCTAGGTGGGAAGCGGTGGATTAAGCTATATCATAATACTCTCCTATAATACTATAATGTGAAAATGCTGATCTTCTTTAAATTTTTTTTAGAATAAAGCCTTTGTTTTTTGTTTTTATATAAACCAGTTCGGCTGTTTTATTCTACTTATTTATTAATTTATTAAAATCAAAATAAATAATTTTTTTTTCAAAGCATCGATGTTTTTTTGTTTTATGTTGTATAGCTGTTGTTTACGTTTTTTATTTTTTTACCATGTTTGTCAAATTTTGCGCCAAAAAACTCGAACAAAACAGGCCCACAGGGTGATTCCTAAATTGGGCAGTGTTTGAAAACACCCTTAAAATTACTGACCTAGCCAAGACACCGCCCTGACAGCCGATACTCCTATACTGAGATAGCGGAGACACCCTCCTGAAACCTATTGGCTTATTCTTGGTCCATCTCTAATTTCAAAGTGAAGCGGTAATTCAAACTTAAAAATATATTTTATATTTCCTCAAACTTTAGCGCGGGTGAATTGAAGACCTATAAAACGCAGCAGCCGCTTGAATTTTAGTTCAAAGTGCGAACAAGTCGGTTGGGTAGTGTTTTCCATATTTTTCAAATTTGTTTGAACAAGTTTTAGAAGACAAAATTATTTATTAAATTAAAATTACAATTTTGAATTATTTTTACATTTTACAAAAATTTTAATATTAATAAAAACAAATTACAAAACGTAAAAATATAAAAATGTATTTAAAATATTGTTTATTGTACATCATACATATTCTTAATTATTTTAAATATGCATTATTTTACGATTGAGCTGCCAGTTAAGCCCTGAACCCTGCGAAATCCGATCCTCGATAACGATAGGTTTGGCAGAGGAACTTGCCTCTCTACTTCCGCCGAAAAGCGGATACTTGATGTGCATTAAGCTGGCTAATTACTTTGTAATTGTAATGTGCATTTATAACGCATTTGCTGAAGTGCGGGCGCCACAGTTTTCAAGTGCTTAATCCACCACGCGCTTCCGCTCTCCACGACATGCCCGCCGCTCTTCCGTTTTCCGGCTCTCTTTCGAAGGACGAAGAGAACTGGGGCGCGATGGTGTCTGCGCCCTGAGTCCTTGGCCGCGGCAGCAGAGGACCAAGCAGAAGCAGCAGCAGCAGCATCCGAATCCGAGGACCAAAACCGAATCCGAAACTCCGGCTCAGTGTGAATTTGCGACTCGAGAGCGACGGCGGCTCAAAGGAAACTTGGCTCGGTAAATAGTCCCCGAAAAAAGTGGGATCCTGGCAACAACAATCCTGGCCACATCCTCTGACAAAGCAGCAGCAACAACAACAACAGCAACTAAGTGGAAAAGCGGAATAGGCAAATGGAAATTGGTGGCAGTCGACGTCGCTGCCGCTGCTCTGCCAACTTGTAATCCCCGTGTGTGTGTGTGCGCTGTGTGTTGTGTGTGTGCGTGCGAGTGTTTATGTGTGGTCAGTGTGCCATTTTGCAAGCATTTTCCATGTGCGGTTCTCAAGAAATCAAAAGAAAATACGATTTGTGACAAAGAAAAACCAGCTTCAATAATGGCCAAACAAAAAACGAGAATTTTAGTTAAATTAAAAAAATATTACCATTTAAATCTCGCATGTTAACTACGCGTCATCAGTTGCCGCAGCCTCTGGAAAACTTGTAAAAAAAACCCTCCTTTGGCAAACCCAGAAAAATCAATCCCCCGCATAATATGAAAGTTGTGCTTTTCTTTTTTTTTTTTTATTTCCCCCATCGAATTTGTTGCTAGTTAGCATGAACATTTCGTACGTTTTCCCCAGCAAGTCTGCCAAAAACGTTTTTCCACGCGAGAAAAAAAAGGAAAAGTTTAAGAGAAAAGCAAATGAGCCGCTCCCAAAAAATCCGAATTTATCAACAACAACAAGAGCAGAGGCGAGAAGAAGCAGCAGAAGGAGAAAGCGAAGAAAGAGCAACCACAACAACAGACAAAGAAAGGCGAAAAAAATAATTGAAAATCTAAGAAAGGGAATAACAAAAGAAATAAATTATTGGGTTTTTTTTTTAGATATATAAACTTGGAAAATGAAATTATAAATTTAAGGTACCTTACTGACTGAAAAAGGAGTTTCCTAGAAATAATACATACCATTAAAGTAAAATGGATAACGTTTTTAACAATTTCAAGCAAAATACAAATTTTATTTTTTATTTAAAAGTAAAGTTAATAGTACTGGTTTAAATGAAAGTCACAATAACAATTACTTTTCGTATTAAAAGGGTCAGCAAAAGTTGTTTTTGTTTCAGAGCATAGAATATAGACCCCACCGCATACGACGACCTACTTAGCATCCCTTGAAGGTCTTGTATTTTTCCTGGGCGAGATACTCGAACATAATTACTCGCGGCTCCTGGTGGCGCATTTCGCATTTTCGAAATGTCCCCAAAAACGCCTCAATTGAATAAGTGCCAAATGGAGGCAAATAGAGCTCCTCAGGCCCACTTAAGCGCACTAATCCGGTGCGACTAGTTAAAGTGTCCGAATCTAAATCTGTTCACTTGTTTGCTGTTGATTCAATCAAGCGCAAGTCGGCGCAATCACAATCACAATCACCCCGCACCACCATACTCATCCTCACAATTCAGAGAAGAGCTCAATGCAAATTGAGTTTATTGTTCGGTCAATTGAGGAGAATTCGCCTTCTTTGCCAGCACTCGTAAGACATTTACTTTATGGCCCGTAAGCAGATGAGGTGATTTGCGTTTAGTTGCCCGACTGCCAGCCGACTGCGAGGAGTTCAAGATCCGTTCGATCCGTGGAAAGATAATAACAGTCTCGTCTAGAAGTGAACCCAAAATCCTTTGATTTTACCCCCGCAGGAAAGTGTCTCGAGTGTGAAATGCCAAGTTAAGAAGTGAAGAAACCCAAGTGCAAACCAAAAAGTATACAACAAAATAATAATAAAATAATACAAAGCAAACGAAAGTGTTCAGCAACAAACATTCCTCGCCCTCGGTCATTGGATCAGGATATATATATACACATATACATATAGCATAAGCATCGGGATTCGGATAAGGATTCGGATTCAGATTCAGATTCTCCAAGGATAAGGAGCCGCAGACACAGATGCAGCCCTAAGTAAGTGCAATTAGCATTAGCCTAGCCACTAAGTTTTCAGTTCAGTTTTTGGCTTTTCCGACCAAAAGGGCGTGTGTTTCTCAGCATCTCTTTTTGTGAATGTGTGTGTGTGTGTGTGTCGCTTTCTCTCCAGCTTTCTCCCTTCTTGTTGTTGTTGTTGTCGTTGCTGCTGGCGTTTTTCATTGATGTTGATGGCCTGGTACATCATCAACTTGCTGCTCGGCTGCGCCTCTTTACTTTGTGTGTAATAAAATTGATGATAAAATAAAAATGGATAATGGGCGATTTTCGGTCTTCGTATTCGTCTTCTCGGAGAATTTTGAACTGAGAGAGAAATGAGAGCAAGCCATCAGCGAGGAGTCAAGAGTCCGTTGTTTACTGTCTCTCACTTTTGTGGTAAAATCACCAACACACAAAAAGCCTCCATTTCTCTTTTTTCACTCCGCCACACACACACGAGCTTTCTCTTCGGCTCTCTCTCTCTGTGTCCTTTGTGGGTTAATGTACGTGTGTGTGGGTGGAGGGGGTGCATCCTGTGGCTGATAAGAATGCTGCACAGTTGTTAATGGTTTTGAAAGCTCGCCTTCAAATTGCAACATTTTAATCACGATAATGCGGCCTCCGATAAAAAATAAATAGGAAGCAAACAATCGCGCATTAACAACAGAAGGATAAGTACAGTAGAAGTTGTGGTTTTTTCAAAAACCTCAGAAACGTAATGGAATACAAAATAAGTCGCTCTAAAAATGTTTAAACATCCCAAAATCATATTCTTCTATACCTGCTATACTTTATAGTACAGCAAATAAATTAATTTATTAATTTTTATTGATTTTTTACAAAAAGAAAGGATAAATATAGTATGTAATTTCTTAACTATTCAACTTGACATTATTGATAACAAATATACTCGTAAAAAAATTTTAACAGGTATTAACATTTTAATATTTGTTTCTTACATTTTTTAAAATTTTAACAAACCTAGTTCTCAGTCGTCTAAAACACAATCCATTCAAAGCCATTCAAGCAATATAATAAACTTCCAATCTCCGTACTCTAAAAATAAAACCTTTATTAAACTTCTTATCATTATCAGCTACATTTTATTTATACCACAAAACACAGTACTGTTTTTAGATAAAGAAATGCGTAAAATGTAGTATATATTTGGTTATGTAGATAGGCAAAGATAAATACGTGGAATTAGACCGAAAACGGGGGGAGTTAAGGTGCCAGGAAGCAGGCTGAATAGCAGGAATAGGACATTAAGGGAGCACACGTTCCGTCTTGGCCCGACTGAGCCTGGCATAATTTGGCCGCCGTATCGTATTTAGCCGGGTTAATTACCG